GTTTAAAATCATCTATCATTATGTGAAAATTGGAAAATTATTCAAGTTCCGTCAATTTATCAGTAACGTCATTTCACTTTTATTTGATTGATTCCAATATTATAAATAGCTAAACGAATTTTGTGCTAGGATTTCGATGAACCTTGTATTTTGAAACTTTAACTTTTGAATCTTATTTTTGATAATAAAGCACGACTTCAATTCTTGAATGGTTTTCATGGATTTATGTTTTTCTACAATTATATGCATAATAGTTGTATGAGTTTTGTGGCTTGTTTTATCTTCGAAAGATTAAAAATAAATTAGACATCATGTCAATTGTAGTAGAGTCTGATAAGAGAAAAAATATATACCGTTATGTTCTACGTGATCTTTAAGTATTCATGAATTCTTAATGCATTCTTGTATGTTCGCATCGGTCATAGAAATATTGTCGAATCACATGTAAGAATATGCTTAATTCCACTTGAGAGATATTGTTAAACAATTTAGGAATATTGATCTTCATAATTGAATCGTATTGTGAGATTGTAATATTCGGGGTTAAAGGGAATTTATATAAGGGGATTCGAGATCTTAGTGAGTTTTTCATCAAAGTTCCATTAATCACAACCTTGTATTGATTTTAGTTAATTTAGATTTTGTACTCATAAGTATATTAGTTAGTGACAATTTAGTTATATAAAAATCATCAAATTCCATAGTTTTGATTAAGGTTAAGTTAATTTGAACTTAAACTATTACAATATCTGTGGGTACAATACTTGGACTTAAAATCTATTTTACTACTTGTTAACGATATTTTTACTTTCGGTTTTTCAAATGAAATGTTTTTTCAACAATTCACATCCTTCATAGATATATAATAGGGTCATTTGTGAGAATATATTTAATTATATTCGAGATATTATTAAATATTATAGGAACAATAATCTTCAAGCCCGAAAAGGTTGTTGGAATTAATTGATAAAGTGTTAAGTAATTAAATGTGATATTTAATTATGTGGGCCATTGTAATTAATTTGGGTGAATTGCATACCGCGCTTCATCTTCCATTTTTATTTTCTATTATTTTCTTTGTTAATTGGTCACAAACCCTTTTAATTCCACCACCTACCCCAATTCACCAGACAACACTTCTAACAACTACCACCACCATCGCTTGTACTAACCATCTCCTCAAATTCATTATGTCCTACATCTACACCTACCACAACTGCCCCCATCAACAAAAAAATACACAAACAAGTCATTGCCATTGCCATTGTGCACCTACACTTCAATACACCACAACAATCACCACTAACAAAAAAGTTCCTAAACAAGCTACCGTCAATGCCACCACCACAGCCGCCATAGCCACCACAATACACCGCAAATCCACTCAAAAACTCCGCCACCACAAAATCAAAAGAAGAAATAAACAAAGTCAGTGGCTAGAAGGCCTCACAGGTTGACAATAATGAGCGGCGAATGCTCAGTTGCACCGATCTCCCAGGTGGAAAATCATTCGTCAATCTCACAGGTGCGCCGATCTCGCAGCTACACTATCCAAAATGGGCCTTCCTCACCGAACTCCTTTGTGAAACACTCATGAAAATCAAAGTCAACTTTGCTCACCATAGGCCTTTGTCTTGCGAGCACCTTATCAAAGTCCTTTTTTGATATCGGAGGAGAGTAGAGAGTGAGAAGAGAGAGGGTTGAGAGTTGAGAGAAGAAAGAGAGAGCGGCAGAGAGAAGAAGGCAGAGGGAATGGCGGAGAGAAGAAAGAGAAAATTGGGATGAAATTGATTAGGGTTTGGATGAAAATTGTACAATTAATATTTAATATTTAAAAATAAAATATTTGATTTTTGAAAAGTGAAACTTTTAATCTGATTTTTGAAATTGATTCTTTAAAATTCTGATTTTGTGTAATTTCCACATAAAAAGGGGACTCCTGTGAAGAAAAAATGTGGATGGTTGAATTTCATAAGAAAAGGGATTCCTTTTTGGAGTCCCAATTGGACTACAACAGTGTGTGGTTGAATTGAAATAAAAAGAGGAGATACGACACAAAATAAGGGGGACGTAAACTGTGGCCAAGAGAAAATATACACGTAGAAGACGCACGGCAAGAAGGGATGGATGAGCAAGGTAGAAAAGAATTCCCTATTTTCATGCGTTTAAAATCATCTATCATTATGTGAAAATTGGAAAATTATTCAAGTTCCGTCAATTTATCAGTGACGTCATTTCACTTTTATTTGATGGATTCCAATATTATAAATAGCTAAACGATTTTTGTGCTAGGATTTCGATGAACCTTGTATTTTGAAACTTTAACTTTTGAATCTTATTTTTAATAATAAAGCACGGCTTCAATTCTTGAATGGTTTTCATGGATTTTTGTTTTTTTACAATTATATGCACAATAGTTGTATGAGTTTTGTGGCTTGTTTTATCTTCGAAAGATTAAAAATAAATTAGACATCATGTCAATTGTTGTAGAGTCTGATAAGAGAAAAAATATATACTGTTATGTTCTACTGATCTTTAAGTATTCATGAATTCTTAATGCATTGTTGTATGTTCGCATCGGTCATAGAAATATTGTCGAATCACATGTAAGAATATGCTTAATTCCACTTGAGAGATATTGTTAAACAATTTAGGAATATTGATCTTCATAATTGAATCGTATTGTCAGATTGTAATATTCGGGGTTAAAGGGAATTTATATAAGGGGATTCGGGATCTTAGTGAGTTTTTCATCATTATATTTTCATCAAAGTTCCATTAATCACAACCTTGTATTGATTTTAGTTAATTTAGATTTTGTATTCATAAGTATATTAGTTAGTGACAATTTAGTTATAGAAAAATCATCAAATTCCATAGTTTTGATTAAGGTTAAGTTAATTTGAACTTAAACTATTACAATATCTGCGGGTACAATATTTGGACTTAAAATCTATTTTACTACTTATTAACGAACTTCGTACTTTCGATTTTTCAAATGAAATATTTTTTCAACAATTCACATCCTTCATAGATATGTAATAGGGTCATATGTGAGAATATATTTAATTATACTCGAGATATTATTAAATATTATAGGAACAATAATCTTCAAGCCCGAAAGGTGTTGTCAAATAACGGAATTAATATGAAAATGGATTAACGTAGGGGATTGATGTCCTAGTGCCTACCCTTAATTTGGTATTCGTAAACGCTTCCCAACCAATTAGTTAGATTAGTTATAATTTTCGGATGTTAATATAACTTGCCCTCAGAGTTTGCTAATCGATTGACGTTAAATTAAATATTTAGTCCTCACACGTGGAAACGATAATTTGGACTTTTAGGTCCACTTTATTAAAATTTTACAATATCATCCACTTGCGGAATATCAGTTCAACAAGTTTTTAGCGCTGTTTTTAGGTACTAAAGTTATTTAGTTAATTTTTAGTTAATCTTAGCTTTAGTTTGAGCTTTTAATGTGTGCATGTTTTTTTGACTCTTATGTTACGAACTAAAGAGATACTTTTATTTTGATTGCATGACGACTTACTTTTAGTACATAAGAATATGAATTAAATTTGGAGTTAAGCCATTTGTACCACCTCCTTTACCGGTGAGTGATGTGATAGATGGTTGATGGTTTGATTAAGGCTCTATTTGGTACATAGTATTTTTTTCATACTCATTATTTTACTAATTTTCAATCACACATTTTTCAATAAAATAATATTTTTCATCACATCAATAACCTTTCCTTCATTTTTAACCACACATTCTCTATCAATCCACTATTCAATAATACATTCTTTCAAAAGAATGTGTCCCAAACACACTCTAAATATGTGAAACGTGAAAAGTGGTATGAGATTGTATCAAGTGTAAATTGGATAAAGTATGATGTAAAAAAGGTGTACATGTAGCAAGATTGTCAAATTTGGGTTATTATTTTAAATTTTTTTTTATTTGTACAAGCATGGGTTTATTTAGAGAGAATTTGCTCATGTTTGGTTTATGTAAACGTTTGAATTAAAATTTAAGTCAACAATTGATTTTGGTCACACATTTTGATTGAACCCACAATTTTAATTACATCATATTTTGTTGAGTTCAATTTTTTGTACATCTACATACATATGGGTTTGTTTGAGCCCTTTTTTTTTGCAAAAAAAATACATTTTGCAATGGTGTTATGATAGAAAATGTATGGTTAAGAAATAAGGACATTTTTTAAATTTGCATGTAATATTATTTTATTGAAAAATGTGTGATTGTAATGTGATTAAATCGCTATTCAAGATTATGTTATGATGGAAAAAAATGGAACTCAAACAAACGCATAATGCCATTTATAAGGCTCTATTTGGGTCACATTATTTTTTTCATTCTCATTCTTCTACTCGTTTTTAACCACATGTTTTTCAATAAAATAATATTTTACACCACATCAATAATTTTTCCTTCTTTTTCAACCACATATTCCCCATCACATCAACAGTAAAAATACATTCTTATAACCAAAATGTGCACCAACTAGGGGCTTAACTCAGAAAAATGATAAAAGTGAAGTCCCATTCAACATATTATACAGGTACACGTGTACATATGTATAATGTCAATTAAATCTTCTAATTTTCTTTTGAGGGCGACAAAGTTGAGTCCCAAAGAAAAACATCTTATAAAAATCCAAATAAAATTGCTGGCCCAATTTATTTCTGCTATCAAATGGTCTGATTAATCAAATGCACCCTCACATAAGAAAATAAAAAATAAAAAATAAAAAACAAAGATCCCTGCCTTTCAGGCAACTCTACAAATACAGTATTTATTGACCATGCATGCATAAAAAACTTAAATTTTTTTTGGAAATTTGCAAAAGTTTAATCAATTCAAATCACACCCTCTAATACTGAGATAGAAATATCAAAACAATTGAATTAAAATACATAGAATTCTGAAGAGGCAGATAAAATGGCAATAGGATTCTTAGAACTTGATCATTAGTTCCTGGAATCCAATGCCAAAATGGTACTGAGATTCATGGGATTCATGTATTTGTCGTCGCCAGTCAGGATCTGTTGCACAACAATTCTGTTGGCTCTCTCAGATGGATGGAAGGCATCCCAGAATGCATACAAATCTCTATTTGGGCACAAGTTGGATAACGGGGTGCACAGTCCAACCCCATTGTATGGCCCTTGTCCACAGCATGCTATTTTTGATGTAACAAATCCTGTCCAACCACATAAATATTAGGGTTTTGTTTTTAAAGAACTAAAATTAACTTTGGTGACTAGAGTTCTTTTGATTTACGTATCGAAACTTAAGTTGAACATAAAACATGTATCTTTTTATAAGATGTTACTTATGTTGATAATAAGGGAGTTAAATTAGTTTCAAATAAGTTATTTATTTTCCACTTTGAACAATGAAAAACATGAGTTGAGATCTGTTGTTCGATTTTTGCTGTCTACTCAATTAATTATTAACACGTCATTATAAATTAACATGTCATTGTAAATTTACCCTTATTAACTTCACTACTTTTCAGCTCTTCAAGATGAAACTTTTCTGTTGACCTAACTTTCCAATGAGTGGACCCACTCAAAGGAAGGACAAAGAGTGCATCTATCTAATCTCTAATCGGGATGACATGCTAATTTGAAATAAAGTGTCAATAATTAATTTGGAAGATAACAAAGTGGATATAAAAAAATTGAACAGTAGATCTCAATTTTTAAAAACATCAATGTTATAAACCAAACTGATCCAAAAGTTACCATTCCGACTCTCTTGCTATAAACAAGAGAACCTAGTGGTCAAAATCAGATGTACTATGCTTTCCATAGAATTATTATGGTGAAAGAAATTAAAAGAAGGATGCAAAGTAGTTGAAGCTTTAACTCTTTATATTTCCTTATGAGATGCTCCCCATCTCCACCCCAAAAGAAAAATTCGTATAGTCGGACGCGCAAGTTGTAATGATAGCAGATTATATACCGTAGGCCTGAGGATTTGTGATGAAGTCGGAGTTCATTTGCATTGTGTTAGCAGCAATAAAGATATCAGATCCAATTTCACTATTTAGACCGTTCAACATTTGAACCAGTTGTGGATTGAACAATGAAGCAGCCCTCTGTAACTCCACAGCACATTCACCTGTTCTGCTCCTTTGGGCCAATTCTGCTGGCACACACCCCATTGGTCCCGTTCCTGTCACAAGAACCCTTCTAGCACCCAATTCATAGAGCCTCTGCCATAATATGAACGATTTAATTAATATTCACGTCCCACAATTCGGGGTGACGGGGGATGAAGTGTTCTAGTCAAACTATAACCGTATAAATAGGGTCAGAAAAGTGATACACATTATGTGAAAACATTACCGTTAAAACCTTGCGATACTCAGAGATCAGGTAGCGGACATAATCAGGGAGAGAAAATTGTCGAGATCTAGCTGAAAATGGCACCAAGTAGTAGTTGTTGACAAAGTCATTGCCACCAAGGGTAATGAGCACAAGGGCTTCATTCACTAGCCTTTGAGTTTCTGTAGGTCCAATTAGCCTACTAACACGAGTCTGGTACTGCTGAAAGTACTCTAATTGTTTCCCAATTCTAATGATATTCAGCTGCCAAAAAATATATATAAATTCAGTGTAATTATAATTTTCATTCATATATTTTGAAGTTTAATGCTCTAGTTGGATCCAGTACGAAGGTACCACAGTACATATAATTGAAAATGACAATAAATTTTCTAATGTTTTTTAAAAGAAAGATTTTAAAGCTATGAAACTGACATGTAATTATTGGAGGTTCAACCATAATAGCTAGAAAGTAAGCCTTGTGCACAATAATTTGGAGTTAGACTATATTAAGAGATGGAGCTAATTCTTTCAACTGGGTGCTAACGACTCAGTTGCTTAGAATTGATATTCAAAATGTCATTAAAATATGTGCTTTAGTTCAGGTAGTGAACACTTGATTAAGGAACTGAAGTAGATGAAATGAACATACAAACTGGATTCCAGTGTCGTTGAGGATCCCAACTCCAGCAGAAGCGAAGTTGGCGCCAACAAGAAGATTGTTTCCCTTCAGCAATGGATTCAGGTATGCCATTGTTGGTTCCATACCCATTTGCTCGCCTGGAAAATGTACATTTAATACATACTGATCATCATGCAAAACGGACAAATGCAAACTATCTCATCTATTAGCTTAAACTCTGTTCAAGATGACAAACTTGTTTATCTAATTTTGTGACTATAATGTATGTAGAGTTTGGAATCCTACTGATAATATCTGGAATATTGAGGCCATTAGAGAAGCGGCCGGTTGGACGGTGAGTTGGATAGTCGATGCCATAAGGGGGTGAGTCTGCACGAGCACTGGTAACTAGGTAGTTGTTGTTGCCACTGTCAACCAGTGAATCGCCAAACACGAAAAATGCACGTGCATCGGTTCGAGGTGCCATGGCAGACAGTGCAAGAACAAGGCTGAAAGCCATCCATAATGCAGAAAAAGAAAAGGAGCAGCCCATTGTATGTTGAAATGTGAAACCCTGGGAATATTTTCTTGGATTTTCACACTTCTGCTCTGAGGAATTTAGCAATGCAAGATCATGACCTTATATAAGCTGGAGAAGATTATTGAACTCCAATAAATGGAATGCTGAGTGAGAGAGAGAGAGGACCACATGGGAAACATATTAGCAGTTTTACAGCTATTATGAAGAATACTTGAATGGGAGTGGGGGGTGTTTACTTTAGGAGATTCATGAAATTTGAATACGTTAAGATTTAGGGTTCCATTTTAAAAGGTCAAACTTATTAAGAGGAATAACTCAATCTTTTATAAGTTAGTTTATGTTTACATCTTTATTCGATGTAGGATTCTATCTTTTAACATGCCCCCACAAAATGGTGGCACGTTTGAGCAGACCAATCTTGAAATTCGTATGCTCACTTTGGGAGTTTTAATCGGATCAAATTGTTCGTTAAAGATTAATGGGCTCTAATATCATGTTAAGATTTGAGGTTCCATTTTAAAAGGTCAATCTTTATCCCACATCGAATAAAGATATAAACATAAACCAATTTATAAATGATTGGGTTAATCCTCTTAATAAAGGTTGATCTTTTAAGATTGAACCACAAATCTTAACAGAATAAAGAAAATGGAGGGTTGTATAGATTGTTTTGGAGGCTTGAATTATTACTTCTTCTTCAACCTTTTTCTTTTTCCTTTTTCTTATTTACTTGCTATGTGTTGTCGAAAATCTAACCACAACAAGAAGACTTGCCCCAAAGAAATTTCATTCAAGACAAAAGTCTAGGCATGACATGAATAACCATACATGGACTTGGGGAACTATTGTTATGCTTTGCCACTTAGGCTCCCACGTGGCTCAGCCGATCCATTGAAGTCCTTATCGCCGAAACCATGTGTCATCCCATGTGGAGTAGGACATACCAAAGTCCATTTACATCCGATCCACTAAAATCTACTCTTATCGAAGCGATTTATAAGGCTGACCATGTCGAAGTCCTTTTGCTAAAAACAAATCCAAGGTTCAAACGAAGCTTCTTTACCGAAGTGCTTGGTTCAACAAAATAGAATCCGATGCTCAATTAAGGCAGGTGATGATCCACTTTTGAAGATCTTGAATTTATAAAACCTCTTTAGAATGATTGATTGGACTTTTTGTAGTGAATGAAAAGGTCGATCTTGTCAGCATAAGTTATAGGGTGGTTGCCTCTTTTTTGGGGACATTTAATATGCCACATGCTAGTGGAGTCAAAATTGATACCTAGGATAAGATGCCTCAATTAAGGAGATGAGTCCACGTGTCTTCCCATCCCATGGACACTATTTCACATTTAACACTATAAATATCCCCCATTTGTGTCATTTTGGAGGTAATGCAAATATATCAACTGCAAGCCATACGTTTTCCTCATTTTTATTAATCTTTGGTTTTTAGTGTTTGAGGTATGATCTTGAGTATGGCTTTTAGTCCGTCCTTTGTTATTTTGTAATATATCTTAAATTTATTTTGCTGGAGGCCGAACATATTTGTCTCGTGTTATAAAGCTTCTCTCATGTTCAAATCTGAGATATTATCGATTGACAATTAGTCTACACATGTTGGAATTAGCTTGAGAGAACGCAAGTGGGCTCGATATCTGTTGTCCACATCAACCGTGCGAAAAATGAAGTCAACATATTGGCACCGTCTGTAGAAACGTCACTATAACCATGAACATTCCAGTGGAAAAAGTTTTTCGAAAAATAATCGGGCATCTCCTTTAAAAAAAGATTCGTTCTTAAAAAAAAGAACAAGTGGAAGTCCCAAAAGTTGGAAAAATCCAACAATTTAGCCAAGGAAAAACGAGTTCAGATCGTGATATCTCTCCCTAGAGAGTAAGAGAAAACTATAACAAAAAGAATCCACAAGCAATAGCCCCAGCGAATCGATGCAGCCCACACCATCACCATAGGCACTGTGGGATGAGGGTAGCTCCTCAACTCACCCAAGATATAGCAACCATGGCTGTTAATAAGAGAAATATTGCCCACCAAAACATGGCTATGTAAGAACTCCTCATGTAGATACAAGGCTAGGGAGGTTCTCCAATTTCTCATTTTACACTAGAAAGATACTATCCGCATGAGGACGAAGTCCAAAGTTAGAAGGCTCCATTCCCTAGGTAGACTAAGGAATTCAACCCTTTGAAAGGGAAGTGGGGGTTGATATTTCCTTAAATTATGCTCCTGGTTGACCCATGGAATCCTATGTTGACATGAATGATAAATGTTCCCCCAAATACGATCCAAAAGACATGCCGCAAAGGTCTGTTAGTGTGTGACAGAATTAGCCCCGCGTGAACCAGGCACATGCCATTCCAGCCATTTCCCGCACCTAGGAATAGACCACAACCACCACCTCCTACGGTCAAGCAACCGGAGAAAAGGTAAGGACATGCCCCTAGTGTTGCCTCGCCTAGAAATAGGCTCTACAGGATGAAGGAAATAATGAGGGATCAGGTAGGCCCTTCTCATCTTATGTCTAGATATCAGGCTAATGAAGAGGAAGATTCGGATGAATCTTAAAGATCTTGAAATCTCAATGAAGACAAAGAAAATTTGCCTTTTTCACAAGAGCTGAGAAGTGTTCATGTCTCTAGTCACTATGTGCTGCCAAAGATACTAAAGCATGGCGGAAGAGGCAACCTGACTAATTACTTGAACAATTATAAAAAACACATGAGCTTGAGAGGTGCCAACTCCACTATCAAATGCCAAGCCCTCAATCTAACGTTAACTGGGCGGTAGAAATTTGGTACAGTAGGATACCTCCAGGGAGTATTAGGAGTTGGTCAGAGTTCAAAAGTACGTTCATGAAATGATTTGCTGTAAGTAAGGAAGGAGTGGCTCATATCCAAGGTCTCTAGGATATGAGGCAACAATCTGAGGAGACCTTGAAGAGTTTTTTAGCCCGCGTTACTGATGAGATAACATATTTGTGTGCAAGTCACCAACTGGGAGGCGTTATCTGCACTACGAGGTGGACTAAACATAAACACTCTCTTTTGGAGGGATGCACAGAATCAGGACCCCACTAGTAACGACACTCTATAGGAGATGATGAGACTTGAGATCATCAACGACGAGTTTATTGATCATCGAAATAGAGCCAAAAGGGGTCTTCAACCTCCAAAGACAACGTGGAAGATGACCTATCTCTCACCTAATGGACCACCAATGGAATCAGACTGCTAATGAATTTATTCCCAATTGTGAGCAAGCACTTGCCACAACCACATTGAATGCAGTGCCCACACTAGCTTACAATGAAGTCCCCCAGAAACCAACATGAGGCATCCAAAAAGGGAGAGGCCAATGGTGGGGTTCGAAACCTAAGAATAGGCTGAACACCCCCTCAATATTGTACTTATCATCATTCCTACAGTCATGACATAGCAGATTGTAGAGGCATAGCTCAACACCCTAGGCGAGTAAACACACAAAACGACAAAAGAAATGATCGCCCTCCTAGGGACATGCCTCCGGTTAGGTAGGATCAAAGGCCTAGACGTGAAGAGGCTAAGCTTTCCCGTTGGGAGCCATCCCCACGACGAAGAAGGGAACATGATAGAAAAAGACCCAGGGAGGGACAACAACAATAATTGGACCCCCTCCCCCAGGTCAACAAGGAAGTCTCTTATATCCGATTTGATTTTTGGAGGACCCTACGTTAGGGCAATACAATGAATTCACAAATGAATTATGCTAGAGACCCAAGAACCCTCCAATGACAAGATACATAGTGGATAGTAGCTCCCGAAAAAGGTAATTACCACCCATCGACTTTACCCAAGAGGATGCTGAGGGCGTACACTTCCCTTATTGTGACTCCTTCGTGGTAAGTGCCATTGTGGCCCGTAATAGGTTGAAGTGGATTTTAATGGATAATGATAGTTTCGTCAACATCCTTTTTAAGGCTACTTTGACAAGATGATCGTCGATCACGAATTGACCCCCATCACAATCCCCTTGTAGATAGCATCATCACAAGAAGAAAATAACTCTTGCTGTAGAAATGGGAGAGCCACCCCAAATAGTTTTGAAGTTCATGGAATTCTTGGTAGTGGATATCAGGTCAGCTTACTATGGGATGCTAGGTAGACCCACCTCAAAAGACTTATAGGCCGTCACCTCCATTCATTATCTATGCAAAAAATTCCCTACCGAACACGGGATTGCCATGGTTCGGGTGACAAAAAAAGAGCATGGGAATGCTATGTGAACTCGATAAGAAAGACTAAACCCAGGGATATCAATGTGGTGATAATGGATGTTGATATTGTGGACGCCCCTAGAGGCCAAAATTCTTGTCAATAAGACGTCGAGATGACGAATGCCCTTGAACGAGTAGCCATACTTGATGAATTAGATCCCGTGTTATTGAGTTAGAATCCTAAATAGTAGTAGTGGAGGAGCTAGAAAGCTTTCCGGTAGATCCTCAAAACCCCACCAAGGTATTGTAAGTAGGAAAATGCCTGCCATCAATGGCCAAAGGAAAACTCAAAGACTTTTTATGTGGAAATCTTGATGTCTTTGGATGGAGGCATGAGGACATGGAAGGCATTGACCTCAAGGTCAGTTGTCACTACCTAAAAAATTGATTCTAAAATTGCCCCCCATAGACAGAAGAGAAGGTCCCTTAACCTAGAGAGATATGAGGCCCTGAAGGAGGAAGTACAAAAGCTGATAAAGAACGGATCCATCAGAAAGGCCATCTACTCGAAGTGGGTCTCAAACCCAGTCTTGCTAAATAAACACAATGATAAATGAAGGGTGTGCATAGACTTCTCCAACCTTAACCGAACTTGTCCAAATGATAGTTTTTTCCCTTTCGAGGATAGATCAACTTGTTTACTCCCTTGCAGGGCACGAGCTTTTGAGATTTATGAATGTCCACTCAGGCTACAATCAAATCTGCAAGCACCCGACAGATGATAAAAAACACATCTTTCC